GGATCTGCCTCCCAAGTGCTGGGATTAAAGGCGTGAGCCACCACCACCTGGCCTCTAAAATGAAATTTTAAGGCTTATGTGGCAGCAGGAAGGTCCAGCCTCTCTGATGAACTAAACCCCGAATAGCCATACAAAGATGTATTTATTGATCATTACACAAAGTATTTTCTCATACCAAGGTCCCTATTCTAATTTAGTAAATAAGAGCATCACATGCCCCCATGACTCTAATCCTTTATTATGTATTGTGTGCAATACACAATAATACAAGAGCCTCAGGTGTGCCTGAGGTGTCTTGTGACCAAAGTCATAGGATGGCAGCAATACCCTCTCAGTAAAACAATTCTACATATTACGGAAAACAATCACTGTTTTCACAGGATTCTTCAAGGTCAAAGTACTTCTAGAAAACAGCTGTTCATTCTAATGTCTACTCTGGATACAGTGACTCTGCTAAATTCCTACGACAGACCCCTTCCTCAAAGGGCTGCCAAAGAAAATAATTGAGGCTAGAGAGGTGATTCAGAGTACTGGTTGCTCTTCCAAAGGACTGCCTTCAGTTCCCAACTCATGTAACTCCAGCTCCAGGGTGTCTGAGCGTGTAGGAAAGATAGCCAAGCTTGAGTGTGAGCCAGTCAGGGAGCAGGCCAGGAGAAGCCTTCCTCTGCCCAGTGATGCTGCTCCATCCCTGCCCAAAGGTCCTCAGCAGCAGATCAGGAACTGTGTCAGATGGAAGGAACCGTTTTCTACTGTAACTTGCGTTGGTCAGTGACTGAAAAGAAGCCAGAACTCCCAGACAGTTCTAAAGGTGTTGTGGCATATTTGTACACTGTGTGAAGATGTACTGCTGCGATCAGTTTAATAAAGAGCTGAATGGCCAATAGCTAGACAGGAGAGGATAGGCCGGATTTGGGGGAGAGAGAGAAAGAAAAGGAGAAATCTAGGCTCACAGATTTCACCAGCAGACTCGGAGCAAGTTGGATGTGCTTTACTAAGAATAAGTAACCGAAGCCGCGCGGTGGTGGTGGTGGTGGTGGCGTGCCTTTAATCCCAGCACTTGGGAGGCAGAGGCAGGTGGATCTCTGTGAGTTTGAGGTCAGTCTGGTCTACAAAGCTAGTTCTAGGACAGCTAGAGCTACACAGAGAAACCTGTCTCAGAAAAAAAAAAAAAATAGAAGAGGTAACTGAGCCACTTGGTAGAACGTAGATGAAAAACATGGGTTAATTAAGTTATAAGAGCTAGTTGAAGAAAAGCCTAAGCTAAGGCCAAGCTTCCATAATTAATAATAAGTTTCTGGATCATTACTGGGGAGCTGTTGGTCCCACAGAAAAAGTCCAACAAGAAAGTTTGTGCCGGGCGGTAGTGGCGCACGCCTTTAATCCCAGCACTCAGGAGGCAGAGGCAGGTGGATCTCCAAAGTGAGTTCTAGGAAAAGGCGCAAAGCTACACAGAGAAACTCTGTCTCGAAAAAAAAAAAAAAGTTTGCTATGTAAAGGAGACTCCTTAAGACTCAGAAGTTGGAAGCCTTTAATCCCAGCACTTGGGAGGCAGAGGCAGGTGGATCTCTGTGAGTTCAAGGCCAGCCTGGGTTACAGAGCGAGATCCAGGACAGCCAGGGCTACAGAGAAACCCTGTCTTAAAAAACAAACAAACAAACAAACAAACAAAAAAGACTCAGAAGTTGGAGGGACTTCTCAATCCTAAGGTGGTTAAGAGCACTGGCTGCTCTTCCAGAGGACCTGGGTTCATTTTCTAGCACACACATGGCAGCTCACACCTGTCTGTAACTCCAGTTCCAGGGGACCTGACACCCTTACACAGACATACATGCAGTCAAAACACCAATGAACATAAAATTTTTAAAAATTATGAAAAAAAAGTGTGGTGGGAAACAACAATGCTAGTACTCAGGAGTTGGAGGCAGTGAATCTTTGAGTTCAAGGCCAACCTGGTCTATATAGCAAGTTCCAAGCCAGCCATAGCTTTACAGTGAGACTCTGTCTTTAAAAAATATAATAAGTAGCTGCTATAATAAGTAGCTGCGTGGCAGTGGTGCACGCCTTTAATCCCAGCACTCGGGGAGGCAGAGCCAGGCAGATCTCTGTGAGTTTGAGGCCAGCCTGGTCTACAGAGTGAGATCCAGAACAGGCAACAAAGCTACATGGAGAAACCCTGTCTCGAAAAACCTAATAATAATAATAATAACAATAATAATAATAAATAAATAAAACCATTTTTTGGCCAGGCAGTGGTGGCACATGCCTTTAATCTCAGCACTTGGGAAGCAGAGGCAGGCAGATCTCTGAGTTCAAGGCTAGCCTGGTCTACAGAGTGAGATCCAGGACCTGTCTTCAAAAAACAAAAAGCAAAACACCTTTTAAAAGATGATGATGAGGGGCTGTAGAGATGGCTCAGTGGTTAAGAGCATTAACTGTTCTTCCCGAGGACCTGGTTCAATTCCCAGCACCCATGTGGCAGCTCACAATTGTCTGTAACTCCAGTCCTAGTGGTACTAAAACACCAATGTACATAAAATAAATAAGTTATTTTAAAAAAAAGATGATCTATGGTCAGAGACTCATTAAGACTCAGTCAGTAAACAACTCACAAGTCTCAGGAAGTCCCTAAACCTAGCAGATGGACAAGCCCCTCCTTCCCCAAGATTATATAAGCAGTAAGGACTGATGAGGAGACTCTGAACATCCAAGATGACTGAAAAAAAAAATGATTTGATGGCACACTGCCTGCAAATTGTGCAGAGAAAACACTCATACACATTAAAATACAATAATCTAAAAAAGAAAGGGCTAAAGGCATGGCTGGGTGGAATACTTGCCTAGCATGCACTGGGCCCTGGGTTCTCCAGCCCTAAATAAGCCAGGTCTGAGAGTACTCACCTAGAATCCCAGCATTCCACCCTCAGCTACATATGGAGTTCCAGGCCAGCCTGCAGTATGCTGGCTGGTTTTATGACACAAGCTACAGTCATTTGGGAAAAGGGACTCTCAACTAATAACAACAACTTCATTAGATTGGCCTATAGGGTTGGGCAGTTCCAATCCTGGGGAGGTGGCTGTGGGTTACATAAGAAAACAGCCAAACAAACCGTGAGGATCAGGTTTGGAGGCAGCACTCCTCCATGGATCTTCTATCAGCTCCTGCCTCCAGGTTCCTGCCTTGAGTTCCTGCACTGACTGCCCTCAGTGATGGAGTGTGACCTGAGAGTTATAAGATGAAATAGTTTCCTCCCTAAGTTGCTTTTGATCGTGGTGTTTTATCACAGAAATAGAAACCTTAACCAAGGCATTGAGCTACACTAGACCCTTTCTTAAAACAAACAAACCAGAAAAGGCAAAACAATAAAAAAGCTAGTGGTATGCAAGCTGACTGTGGAGAGGAATTATGTCTAATTCCATGTGCTTCTCTCTTGTGCTGGGGCCTGTTTTCCATGTCTGGTTAGTGATTCAGAGGACAGAAAGTGTGGTCTGCCATACTGTACCCTGCTGTAATTTCCAACTAAATCCACACGTCATTGGGTTGTGCTGACAACTGTCTTCTGGAATGTGTCTTGTGATAAAAAATATGGGGAACCTTCTGTGATAACACCTATAAGCCTAGCACGGGAGAAGGAGGCAGGGGGACCATGAGTTTAAGACTAGCCTGAGCTACATGAGACCCTCACTAAAAAAAAAAAATAAACAAAAACAAACAAACAAACAAAAAAAAACACACCAGGTTGGCAAGATGGTCCAGGGGGTAAAGGCATTTACTGTCAAGCCTGATAATTTGAGTTTAATCCCTGGGCCCCACGTGGTGAAGGAGACAGCCAACTCCTTCAAGTTGACCTTAGGCCTCCACATGAGCATCATGGTACATACACACTGTGGTAGTGTAAATGTAATTAACCCCCATAAGCTCATAAGGAAGTGGCACTATTAGGAGGTGTGGCTTCGTTGGAGGAGGTATGGCTTTGTTGAAGGAAGTGTGTCACTATGGAGGTGGGCTTTGAGGTCTTATATATGCTCAAGTCATGTCCAATATCTTAGTTCACTTCCTGTTGCCTGCACAAAATGGAGAACTCTCAGCCACCTCTCCAGCACCATGTCTGCCTGCACACCACCATGTCCCACCATGATAATAGTGGACTGAACCTCTGAACTATAAGGCACCCAATTAAATGGTTTCCTTTATAAGAGTTGCCATGGTCATGGAGTCTCTTCACAGCAATAGAAACCCTAACGAAGACAAACACCCACACTTATATATTTCTCTGTGTAGTCCTGGCTGTCCTGGAACTCACTCTGTAGACCAGGGTGGCCTTAAACTCACAGAGATCCACCTGCCTCTGCCTCCTAAGTGCTGGGATTAAAAGCCTGTGCCACTACCGCCCGGCCTCATTTGGTTTTTTGAAACAGGGTTTCTCTGTGTAGTCCTGGCTGTCCTGAAACTCTCTTTGTAGACCAGGCTGGCCTCAGACTCAGAGATCAGCCTGACGCTGCCTTCTGAGTGCTGGGATTAAAGGCATGCATCACCACTGCCTGGCTATTTTTATTTTATTTTATTTTATTTCATTTTATTTTTAGACAGGATCTCATTAAGAATATCTGGCTGTCCTGGAAATTGCTATGTAGATCAAGCTGTCCTCGAACTCACCGAGATCCTGCCTCTCTCTGCCTCCCAAATGCTGGGATTAAAGGCATGTGCCAAGTGACTTTTTAACACCTGAATTCTGAGACTCAAACTCAGTTTTTCATGTTTGTGCAGCAGATTACTGACTCAGCCATCTCCCTAGCCCTGTGACGCTTAGTATCGATTTTCAACCTGATTGGATCTGAAATCAACTAAGAGACAGGCTCCTGGGTGTGTCTGTGAAGGCATTTCCAGGAAGGGCTGAGGAGAATACCTCACAGGTTGTCCTCTACCCTCCACACGGGTGCCATACACATGCATGGACATCGACACACAAATAAATGTAATAAACATTTTTATAAAGAAGCCGGTTTCACCAGTGTCCCAGCTGCAGTGAACACTGTGTTGGTCAATTGTCACATGCTATTTGACAATGTAGCTCTGTAAGTGAGGCTGCCACCCCTAATTCAGACCCAAACACTTCTATCTATGTTAAGTGTCCTCGAAGACTCCTTGTCTAGGGATGAGCTGCCCTCTCCCCCAACTCTGCACCTGCAAGGAAAGAAAAGCAAAGCAGCCCGAGTGAAAACACCATGTCCCTGAGATAGCTGGAAGGTGAACCGTTTCCAACCGTGTTGACTACTGTTCATACTGTCCACCCCATAATATAAAAGTGTCTGAGGGAGACAAAGAGCTGCAGGCTCAGCCCTGGAGAGAAAGCTCCGTGGGAAGCCCATCTGGAGCTGAATAAGGTCAAAAACAGACTTTCTTTCCCCGAGATAGGCATTAGATTTACTTACAGCATTGCTTGTACTGTTCATTTCCAAGCATGGAGCCTGCCACCTGGGACAGAATGACCTGAAGAAACAGCTGACACCGTGCGTCCTTGCCCTCAACCACCTGACTCCAAAGCTTACACCTTAGTAACTTACACAAAAGCTTATAACACATGCCTGGAAAAATAAAAGGCTGACTGCCACGTAGGAGTCTGTAAAATCTTTCTTGCTTGCTTGCCCCAATTTGTGGTTTAAGAGTATAAAATGAGAATGAAAACTGGACCTGGGACCAAGGCCTTTCAGGAGCTGTCCTGGCTTTGGTCCACCAGTGACATCTCTTCTCTTCCATTCTCATTGGTACTGAGATGCTTATTCCAGAAAGATTCCCACAACACATCCACCCACCCATCCATCACCCATCCATCACCCATCCATCCACCTATCCATCAATCTACCCATCCACCCACCCATCCACCCATTCACCCATCCATCCATATACTCATCCACCCATCTATCCATCCATCTATCCACCCACCCATCCATCCATCTATTCATCTACCCACCTACCCATCTACCTATCATCTGTGTATCTATCATCAGACTAACATCACTTGCTATTTATTATTTCACTGTGATTTGTTACATACTTAGTAAACTCACTCATACAAAGGCCATAGCCAGATGCCCTTGGATGCCAGAACTGCCTGCTAAGTCAACCTCTGGGTTGTTTTTCTCTTATTACATATATTACTATTTGCAATATAGTGTGTATGCATGTGTGTGCCATTGTGGGCTTGTGTAGCTTGGAGGGAATCTTGTAGGAGTCGAGTCTTTCCTTCCATCATGTGGGTTCCAGAGGCCAAATATAGGTTATCAGGCTTGGTGGCAAGCACTTTTACCCACTGGGACACATCAAAGGCCCTAAAGGTAGTTTTCTTTTCTTTAGATGAGGTCTCTATATGTAGTCCTGGCTGTCCTGGAACTCATTCGGTAGACCAGGCTGACCTTGAACTCAGAGATCCATCTGTCTCTGCCTCCAGAGTGCTGGGATTAAAGGTGTGCACCACAATGCCCAACAGTCCTCAAGCTTTTATTTGGAAACCAGTTTACTTTTATCTAAAATTTGCAAAGATGTTGAAGGGCATTCTTATGCTGAATGTAGTAGGTCTCACCTGTAATCATAACACTCAGAAGGCTGAGACAGAGGATGACTGTGAGTTTGGGTCTCAAGAAAGAGATGGAGGGGGATAAAGAACTCTTTTCTGTGGTGTGTGTAGTATATGCATGTGTGCACATGTGGAGGATGCTGTTAGTGTGTGAAGACTAGTCCAAAACCAAGGACCCAGACACCAAAGTGAGACAGACCATTTAGCATCTCAGGGTGTTTGTGGAGAGGCTGCCTGATATGGAGGTTCTGGCAGCAGCAAAGACCAGTTGGAAGCTGGATGTGGCATAACACATTTGCAGTCCAGATATATTGGTGGAGGCTGGAGGATCAGAAGTTCAAGGCCAGCTTGGGTCTCACAGTGAGTTAGAGTTCAGCCTGAGATACGTAAGACTCTGTCTCAAAAAACCAAAAACAAAGTAGTTCATGGCGGCCAATGCCTGTAATCCCAGCACTTGGAAGTGGAAGCAGAAGGATCCAAAATTCACCATCAGAAGCCCAAAACAAAACAACAACAGACCTGGAGAGACCAGCTGGAGCAGGCCAGGGATGGAGGTGTCTCTGTGACCTTCACAGGCAGCAGAATGAGGTGCCTTGGGAGCCAAGAAGACAGTTCAGCACACCACTCAGCAGCCAGTGCTGGCTCACACTTCAGGAGTCTGACCCCCAGTGGTTTATTTTAGACCTATTTAAGCACAGCACCATCTAGTGAAAACTTCTCTTGTGATGATTAACTCAATCCCTCGTGCACAACAAACGATACCTAAATCTCTTTGAGTAAGCAAGCTAAATACAGATCAGATGTGACTACATCAAATTTCTTTGTAAAATGTGACACCTTCCATAAAGACAGGGTCTATCAATTGACTGAGAAAACTAAGTTTACAAGAAGGGTCTGGAGGAGGGTCCAGTGCCCGAAAGTCCGGCCACACAGATTGTGCGAAGGTCACCAGGCCAGAAAGCATGTCTGTTCCAGCCTTGAAGGAACAACCCTGTGTGCTTAACCTTCCAGGTTCTTCTAGTGCATGTCTGTGAGCACAAAGACCTCTGTGTGTCCTACAGGCCCCTATCAGAGGGGTGTATAAATATGACTTCCTCCTGGATGGAATGCACATGGTTATTCTAAGCTAAAATGAAAGACCTAGGCTCATCCCTGATCCTGACCCACACACCTCTAATGGCTGTCTAACGTGGTTTGCTGGGGAGCTGTGCAGGAAAGACCCAAGCATAGTTCTCCAGCAGCTATACTGGTATAACTCAAGCTGGTCGCCATTGTATATCATGTTAAGTCTACACAGTCACTCAGTTTCCTCTGTCAGCATCTTGTGCAACCATGGAGGCTTTACCACTTCTAGAGAGTGGTTGGTAACCATGGACCATATTCACTGAGCCACAGACTGTGTTTAAACTTTACCAGTTTTCCCTCTGATGTCCTTTCTCTGGTTCAAGATCCCACCCAGAAAAGTCTCATTCGTTGGGTGACAATCTACATAGTTTCATATCCTTGACACCCTGGAAGTTCAATGTTCAGTTTTTTTTTTTTATTAGATGAATGTATTTGTTTTACACGTATGTGTATGTGCAGGCGTACCCTGTGATGGGGCACATACAGAGACCAGAAGACAACTGTTCATTTGCTCCACCATGTGTCTTCTAGAGATTAAACGCAGGTCATCATAGTTGGCAGCAGGCGCCTTTACCCACTTCGCTTTCCGAAGTGGGGTGTGGCTATACTGCGCCATGGGTTGCCCTTTGTGTCTCTGTTGCCAGGATTGTGAGGCATACCAGACCTTTCCTGCCAAGGGTTCTGAGGAATCAAACTCAGTTTTCATGCTCAAAGGGTAAACACTTGAACAACTTGCCTGGCTGCTGCCCCCTCAGAACTGTTTTTTTGTTTTGTTTTTGTTGTTGCTGTTGTTTTTGAGACAGAGTTTCCTTGTGTAGCCCTGGTTGTCCTGGAACTCACTCTGTAGACCAGGCTGATCTTGAACTCAGAGATCTACCTGCCTCTGCCTGGGATTAAAGGCGTGGATCACCACTACTTGGCTGTTTGTATTTATTCATATATGAATATTTTTGTCTGGAGTGGTTCTTCTTTTTTCTCTTTCTCCCCTGGGTTGCAAGTAGCTCTGGCTGGTCTTGACTCACCACAGGACCATGAATGAGCTTGAACTCACAATGCTCTTCCCTTCACTGAGTACTGGGATCATAGGTGTGTGTCACCATGCTCAGCTTGCTTTTTTTTTTTTTTTTTTTTTAAGACTTCAGCCTTTTCTTTTTTTTTTTTTTTTTTTTTAAGATTTATTTGTTTATTTATGTTTGCAGTATTCTGTTTGCATGTATCCCTGCAGACCAGAAGAGGGCACCAGATCTCATTACCGATGGTTGTGAGCCAACATGTGGTTGCTGGGAATTGAACTCAGGACCTCTGGAAGAAGAGTCAGTGCTCTTAACCTCTGAGCCATCTCTCCAGCCCTCAGCTTGCTTTTTTTGATTCAGGGTGTCACTCTGTAGTTCAGCCCAGGATCCAACGTGAGGCACTCTTCTTGTTTTGGCTTCTTCTTCTTTTTTTTTTTTTTTTAATATAAAGGAGTTTTTTTTTTTGTTTGTTTTTGTTTTTTGGTTTTTCGAGACAGGGTTTCTCTGTGTAGCTTTGCGCCTTTCCTGGAACTCACTTGGTAGTCCAGGCTGGCCTCGAACTCACAGAGATCGGCCTGGCTCTGCCTCCCGAGTGCTGGGATTAAAGGCGTGCGCCACCACCGCCCGGCAAAGGAGTTTATTTTTGAATAAGGAATTTAATTTCCTATTTCCAAATTCACAGTCTGGGGTTTTAATATAAACTATATTTACAATAAAGAAAATGACTTATTTTTAATTACATCTAAGTGTGTGGGTATGTGCATGTGAGTGTAGGTACCCTCAGAGGTCAGAAGAGGGCATTGGATTCCCCTGGAGCTGGGTTTATAGGCAGTGCGAGCCACCTGACCTGGGTACTGGGAGCTGAACTCAGGTCCTCTGTAAGAGCAGCAAACACTTAACCAGTGAGCCATCTCCCCAGTCCCAATTTTAGCTTCTTAAAAACTGGGATTACAGTCCTATGCCACCGTCCCCGGTCTCTGCTCATTTTTGAATCATAATTTTTGTATAGAATGTTCTTGAATAGGGGACAGATAACTATCTACCTGGTGTGTTCTCAGGGTTAGACTGAGGTTATAGGGTTAGGGTAAATGTTCTCAGAAGCCGTGAGCAGTGGACTTACCTGTCATTCCTGCGCTGGTGAGGCAAAGGCAGTAGGACCCAGAATCACACAGCAAAACCATTTCTCAAAAAAAAAAAAAAAAAAAAAAAAAAAAAAGAAAAGAAAGAAAAGAAAAGGGGTCTGGGCATGATAATGCACACCTTTAACCCCAGCATTTGGGAGGCAGAGGCAGGTGGATTTCTATGAGTTCAAGGCCAACCTGGTCTACATAGAAAGTTCCAGAGCAGCCAAGGCTACATAGTGAGATCCTCAAAAAAATGTGGGGGGTATTTATCACACAAGTCTGACAAGTGAATTCAATACTAGGAGTCAGCCAGGCATGGTGGTAGACATCTTTATTCCAAGCACTCAGGAGGCAGGGATAGGAGGATCTCCGTGAGTTTGAGGCCAGCCTGGTCTACACAGTGAGTTCCAGGACAGCCAGAGCTATACAGAGGGACCCTGCTTTAAAAAAAAAATTTTAAAAACCAAATAAACAAACAAAAAAACCTAGGAATCTAAAGTAGGAGAGAACCAAGTCATGAATGTTATCCTCTGACTTCCACAAGCATGCCATGATGTCCTTGTGCACACACACACACACACACACACACACACACACACACACACACACCAACAGTAACAAAAAGAAAGAAAAGGTGTTTTCCTCAGACCTGTCCCATGTCCAGGAGAGCAACATGGCTCACAGCTGACGTCTTTGACCTCCACCTCTTGGTTAAGAACTTTCTGCCAGGCCAGGTTTCTTTTTCCCTCCAGTTACTTCCCCTTTTGTTTGTGTGTTTGTTTGTTTGTTTTGAGATAAGGTCTCACTATGTAGCCCTGGCTGTCCTGGAACTCTCTATGTAGACCAGGCTGGCCTTGAACTCGCAGAGAACCACCTGCCTCTGCCTCTCTAGGACTGGAATTAAAGGCCTGTGCCACCATGCCTAGTTTAGTTTGTCTTTCTGTAAAGACACTAATCTAATCCCTACACCAGGGAGGAAGTAAGCCCCACCTCCTGGAGGGGGGGTGTCTGTAGTAGAAGGCTCCAAGGAGGAATAAAGGGCCAGCAAAGCCAGATTCCTCACTAAAGTTTCGTTCCCAACTTTAGCATCCCTGGGTGGATCTTGTCTCCTAGCTGAAATCACAAGCTCCAGGCTCAGTAAAAGACTCAGGAGGCAGTGGATTTCCCTGGGTGTGAGGCCAGCCTCGTCAACATTTACATAGCAAGCTCCTGGCCAGTCAAGGCTATATACAGTGAGTCCCTGTCTAAAAAAGAAAAGAAAAAGAAAAAATTCCCACCCCCAAATCAAGGTAGAGATGATAGGCCAATGTTGACCTCATGGGTAAAGCACATCTGCATACATGTCAACACACAATCATACATACATCATACGTAGACACATATGCTGCGTCCTTGCTCATCTTTTCCCTCTTGATTGCTCGGCTCTGGCCCCATTAGTCTATGATTCAGCTGAGGGTGGGTCTGCTCATGGAAGGTTATGTTGGTTCCTCATGCTGTAGGGATTTTAGTGAGGACTCTGGTCTTTGCCCCAAGATGAAATCACCCAATGACAGTATCACAGTACATGTCTCCATCACTAATCACTGCGGTTTAGTCGCACAGTCTTGAAACTCCCCAGAAACCTTTGCCTTTGCTGGAATGTTCCTACCGCCACACTGCATAAGACTGCTTTCCAACTGCCTTTCTACCCTTACCTGGAACTCACTCCCCTGTTTATGGCCTGTCCTGTTAGTTGGGTTCTCCATAAAGTCTATTAAGTATGTTGGCTCTTCTGCTACTGTAATACGAGCAGCCAGCAGCCTCGGTACACAAGTGCCATGTCTTCAGGAGAGCTCATTTTATGTCTGATCCACTGTAAAATAAAGAACCGTTGCAGAGATTGAGTGAATGCACGCAAAACTTGTGCACGAAGCATCCATGTCCAGTAATGCTTATTACCATCAACAGTGTGATAGGCCTAACAGAGCTTCCACAAGGAAGTGCAAGCTCGGAACCACGGCCGACTCATGAAAAGCAATTTTTTAAAACGGCATGATATTGACCGGTGCTATCATTGTCACTGTCATTTGGAAGATGTTTAAATAGGAACCATTCTTTTTTTTCCCACTGTCTTTTCCTGGTCTCCTCCCTAGCCGCCCAAGGATGCTCCTCAGGCCTCCGCCCTCCCCGCCTGAGCCAGAGCCAGGGTGAAGATTCGGACCCTTGTGGACCACCGGTTCCCATCGCCCCGCCCACCGGCCTGGACTGCTAGTGGTCTCCATGGAAACCCACTCAGGGGCGTGTCAACGTCACGCCTGACAGGAATCTTCGCCTATTCAGTTAAAGTTTTCTGGCCGAAGAACGCCACAATGGTTTCTGAGTGGTTTATCCGTAATGAAGGGCGGGAATGAGGCGGGAGCTGTTGCCATCTCTACCAACCAAAAGCCGATATAGCTTTGATGGACAGGTGTAGCGGGAAGAGGCCAAGAATGCCGGTTGTCACCCAACCGGCTGGCCGCTGTGAGGAGAAAGGGCCAATCAGAACGCGGAGGGGGCGGGGCTAAGGGACCGGTTGCTCCGGAAGTGGAGGGAGGGGGTGAAAATGGCGCCCAGCTCGAAATCGGAGCGGAACAGCGGGGCCGGGAGCGGCGGCGGCGGCCCTGGGGGAACCGGGGGGAAGCGGGCAGCGGGGCGGCGACGGGAACACGTCCTCAAGCAGCTGGAGCGGGTCAAGGTGAGGCTTGGAGCCTGAGGCGAGCGCGCCCGGTTGTGAGGAGGAGGGGACGCGGGAGGCGGCCGAGGGAGGGCGGCGCGGCGAGGTGGGGGGCGGGGCCGGGAGGGGGCTGGGCGGGCCGGGCGGTGGGGCTGAGGAGGGGATGGCCGGGCTGAGGCTGGTGCCGAGGCGCGGGTTGGGGTGGCGAAGGTTGGTGACTTGGATGGAGCAGGCTGGGCGGGTCACCTGCAGGGGGCCTTGGATGAAGGCGGCTGGGCCAGATCATCGGGGAAGGGGCTTGGGTGGAGGAGGCCGGGGCGAATCATGGAGGAAGGAGCGGGGACGGAGGCGGCTGGGCGGGTTACTGTAGAGGCTTCCCGAGGAATCTGGAGGAAGGGAAGACCCTTGCTGAGACCCATTTTTCAAAGCACTGCTCCGTATTGGAGCTTGCCGCCCAGCTCCCCACTCCGGTTGCAGAGTCCCTGCTGCTGGCCCTGGGCATCCAGTGCCTGGTGCTCCTTCTCTGTCCCAGTTCTGACCATCACGGAGTTGGTGTACCTGGGTCTGCCTCACTCATTGATGTTTCCAGAGTAGGGCCAGGACTTCTCAAAGTGGAAGTCACTTGATCAGGGCTCTGTCTCCCTCGTCAGATTGGGACACCTGGAAGGGCAGAAATGTGAATATCCTGTTAAGTGGGCAGCAGTGGAACAAGATTGGCTACGTGCACTAGAAATTAGAAGCTGGGTGAGGGCAAAACCGTGCCTCCATCTTTTTTAACTGGTGCTCCCTAGGCAGGGCTGTGGCTCTGCCCTTAGCCTGGGCGCTCCCTGGGCAAGGGTTATACCCTCTCGGGAAGGCCTGGCCGACAGAACCATTCGCGTTGTGGGTTGAGATGTACTGAGGGCAAGGTGCCAGCCCTTCCCATGCAGCTCTTTCCCACTATCTTCTTGAAGGCAGGCCAAAATAGCTTCCCAGTGGTCAGTGTATGCCTGTCAAGTTTCCTCAGATCCTTCCTCGGTGATGTTTTACAGTGTGACGGTTGGCAGGTTGCAGTTAATTAAGAAAAGGATTTGTCTAATAATGGATTGGAGACAGTTTGGGAATACTGGGTG